ACTTGCGCAGCTGATTCCCCTTGGGCTTGCGTGCCCGAGTCGAGTGCTCATCAACTCCGGCTGCATCATTTTTCGTAAGGAGACGACGATACTACCCTCAAATTTATTAGACCAACGTGCCTTATCTATCCATTCAAGTAAACACGCCTTCCTCCTTGAGCCACGACACGCACATCTCGACATCTTTGTGAATGTCATGGCGCCAGATTGGTTCCCAAATGAGGTCCAGATCCACTCGCCGTCCTTCAGGGGACGGGCCAGAGGGGCCACGCCCTTCGTACACTTCCCCCGCTGCCTCGCTGCGCCTCGAGACGTCATTCGCTCGCGGGACACGGATGCGGTCATATACCCGCAAAATGGCCTTTCACAAGCGAGTCAATCAATGTGGTTGCATGCAGTGGGTGCTCAGTCATGCGCACCTGGAGATTGGAAGGCGTAGTCTGGGGGTGTGATAGGAGCCGGGAAAGAACGAATATGTCTTCGACTCCTTGACCCACACCCGATCCCAGATGTGTAAACATCGCATGTGCCTGCGTTCAGAAGATGTTAACAGCAGAAAGCAGCGCCGGAGGCGGTGTGTAGCTACAGCGTCTCCAACTAGTGCCACGTTTCCATTGACGTAGTGGTCGATCTGGGGGTATAGGCCATGTATCAACCACTTCGTAGGCTTCTCGATGCAGCTGAGTATGCGGCGTGGGTCGTCCCCGAAGTCAACGAAGAGTCCCTGAATCTCTTCCTGGGAAGCCGGCGTGACCCAGTCACTTCTCTCCGAAAGAGAGATGGACGCCTTATAAGGTCTCGTAAGCCCCACGCAGTTCACCTAGAATGGGCGATGATTAAGTTGAGTAAGGGAAACCCGCAGCAACATGTGGAACATACCATCCTTCCTGATGCAATTGGGTAGGTGACGAGATGCTACTCGTTGGTGTCAATGCAGCCCTATGAAAGAACTTCAGTAATGAACAACCTTCCCGTTTCCCATCCAGATAGTTGGCCATGGACTGGAAGGAGAGAACGCGGCAGCCACGTCTGCTTGCTCCAGGGCCTCGACGCTGACGAGACCACGATATGCAATCGTCCCAGTGAACGCCGGAAGCTTGCTTGCGGCTTCTTCTCCGATTACTGCACGACGCACAATACTCTTGACACCATCTGCACCAACCACTAAGTCTGCTTCATGGCTTGTACCGTCAGAGAAATGTATCACTGCGCGGGAGTTTCCCAACCCCGCAGTATCTACTTGGACGCATCGTTTGTTGAAGTGAGTTGTAACCCTCTCCGGGTCAAGGTACGCTACCAAAGCATCGAGCAAAGCAGCACTTCAAGAAATGAGACCGGGCACGCCGGTAGTATCAGAAGGAAGACTCACCGATGCGTTGCCACTCCGAGGTCACCAGGTCCACTCGGATACTGTCCATCAAGCACCTCGTTGAAGACGATGGCAGTCTGTGCGAACAGAAGGTACTTACAAAGTACACAAGCTCATAATCGCCGGTTCCCATCCTAAATTTGAATTTGTAAGTGCGTATGCTCGGCGCCTTCTCTTCCGTGGTTTCGACCACTTTCACAAGTACACCAAGCTCTTCGAGGATTGAAACAGCGTTGGGACCTGAAAGCGTGTCACCGCGTGCTCCCCTGTGGCATTGCACGAGATACCGATGGCGATGCCAACGCCGACTTCACCGTACTTGGACTAGATCAATCACCGACCATGAGTGTCAATAGATATATCGTGGAAATATGGCGCATACCGCTGCTTCGAAGATGTCGATGCGGACCCCGGCATCCATCAAGGCGATAGCAAGTAGCACGCCACAGATACCACCTCCGATGATCGCGACGCTGAAGTCGCGCTGCGATCCATCTTGCGAGTTTCTCATGGTGGATAGAGAATCGGAGCTGGGGCTGCAGGAGTCGAGCTTCTTATCTAAATGCGACGAGACATCAGTAACGTGCCCGAATTTGCAACGCGGCCTGACGACTAGGGATTGTTCACAGACCGGAGAGTAGTCACAAGAGGATTTGTTATTGCATACTTCGTGAGTCCCTCGGAGCACCGGAGACTCCATCATTGTACCTGGGTGGAGACTACACGGTCTCTCAGTCAGAGAATTTGAGGCAACTTGATGGGATGTTGTGCGGCGAGCCTCTCCTCGCTGGAGTACCACCAATAGTATCTGGGAGTTTGACCCAAGCCAGGCTGCAGGATGAGCAGTGGCCCCGGCGGGGAAGGAACAGCGGTCGACATACAAACCTCCTGAGGCTGTGATTTTTTCTGTCAAAGTGACGGTGTCGCTGGCTTCGCATTAGCCTCCGTAACAGACTGGCTAAGTGAAGACAGTCGTTCACATGTAGCTTCGCAACCCGAGACCGCTGATTCGACGCTTCCGCCGGGCCGAATTGTGGCTGCGTATGCACCTGTATGCACGCATAGAGTCAGACTGGGATCCGCCCATCTTGTGAGCCGCGGGCGAGGAGCCATAGAAGCCACTGCTGGTCATGTCCTGTAAAAACTCGTTGACTCGTCCGAGGCCATCATGCCATTTTCCTTAAGGTACAAGGCCTGAGGATGTAACCTGACGTAACCTGGGGTCTCAAGTATCCCGAGATTACCTATCCGTTTAGGTATACATGCCTTCCTCCTTGAGCCTCGCCACACATGCCTCGACATCTTTGCGGACGTCGTAATGCCAGACCGGCCCCCACATGTTATCCAGGTCTGCTCGCAATCCTTCGATGGAGGGACCCGAGGGACCATACCCTTCCATCACGCTCCCCGCTATTTCGCTGAGCTTTGAGACGTTGTTGGCTCGTGGGACGCGCACGCGGCCGTATTCTTGAAGAACGGCCTTCCGCAAGTCAATTTGTCAACATGAACTCGTCGCTTAGTAGCAGACGAAGGATCACACGTACCGGCAGGTTGTATGACGTGGTCTGAGGGTGCACCAAAAGGCGCGAAAGCACATACACGTCTTCAATGCCTTGGCCAACCCCCGCTGCCAAGTGTGGTAACATCGCATGAGCCTGCAGCCCGGGGATATGCGTAAACATGGGTGTCAATGGAGTCAAAGTTGGATCTGTACCGCATCGCCGACTAGCACGACGTTCCCATTGACGTAGCGGTCGATTTGTGGGTAGAGGCCATAGACCATCCACTTCAAAGGCTTCTCCAAACAATTGATGATCTGGCGAGCGTCATCACCAAAGTCTGAATAACACTCTTGTATCTCCTCTTTCGACGCCGCCGTGGCCCAAACGTTGCTATCAGAAGGGGTCTGAGCAGACGCGCCGCGCTGTACAGCGAGGCCTACGCAATTGACCTAGGATAGGGAACCCAGGATGAGCACCAGAGAGGGGAGCGTGTGATACCGTGGAGACATACGGTCTTGCCCGACTCGATGGCGTAGGTGACAAGATGCTGAAAATCGGCATTAGAGAAAACCTGAGAGGTTTGGAGAATAGCAACAAGTAACCTTGTCTTTACCCATCCAGGCGGTTGGCCATGGGTTGGAAGCGGAGAATACGCCGCTGACACCTGCACGCTCCAGGGCTTCTATGCTGGCCAGACCGCGATATGCAACTGTCCTGGTATACGCAGGGAGCTTACTCGCAACTTCCTCTCCGACGACTAGGCGGCGTACGACGCTCTTGATGCCGTCTGCACCAACGACTAGATCCGCCTCATGGCTTGTACCATCGGAGAAATATATGGCGGTGCGGCCTTTATTGGTATCCGAGGGCTTGACTTCGACACATCGTTTGTTGAAGTGAGTTTTGGCTATCTTTGGATCGAGGTACGTGACCAAAGCATCGAGGAGGTTGGCACTTCGGATAATGAGATGATACGAATGTTGTAGATCCTGCTGAGAACACGCACCGATGTGCCGCTACTCCGAGGTCGTCAAGTCTGCAGGGATACTGCCGCAAAGTGTGATGTTGACAACAGGGGCCGATACAAAAAAGCGCATACTCACTGTGTACACTAGCTCATGGTCGTCAGTGCCCATTATGAACTTGTACCTCAGAGAGCGTGTGCTCGCCGCCCTCTCTTCAGTGTTCTCCACTACTTTGGAAAGGACGCCGAGTTCGTCGAGGACTCGAACGGCGTTGGGACCTAAAACGACAACGTCACAACACGTCTTTCAACCCACCGGATCACTGAAAGCAGCGCACCGAGGTTGATCCCAGTCCCAATTTCGCCATATCTAGACTGTGCACGCCGTGCGCTTGAGTGACAATGAGATCTCATGGAAACAAGAGGCTACTACACACCGCTCCTTCAAAGATGTCAACACCGATACCAGCGTTCATCAGAGCGACAGCCAGCAGCACGCCACAAATGCCGCCTCCGACAATGGCGACGCTGAAATCACGTTGAGAATCTCTCTGAGGGATCTCCATGCTGAGAGGGAATGAGTGAGTTGGTTTGAAGGTTGACATGTATGATGGACCAAAGCTCGCCTTTTATCCACACCCTACATGACGGTCCGCCTGACCAACGCAACGCGGGCCGTGGTTAGAAAGTGCCATGGGGGGATTGAATACCAGGTGCCTCTCCGCAGTGCACGAAGTCCGCATGACCCGCCGTGCCTGTTCGGAGTCACCGAGCTTAGTCGTCAGGGAGTAGAGAACTGTAGAGAATCGGAGCCATCGCATCCCGAGGCAACCGAGTCGCGCTCAGCGGTATCCGTGCCTTGTTGAAGCTCGAGGATCCAAGTTGCCGCCGGGAAGCCGCCACGGGGGTTCCAAGAACCCCACTGCACGGAACAAAGGCGTGGCAAGCCGCGACCCACCGCCAGGGGTCAGAAGTACAGGGACCGCGAAACAATGGATGGCGGCCAGTGTAACCGTCAGCGTGTTGACTTCGACAGTTCCGGACCCACGCATCGCGCCGTTGGCAGGAACCTAGGATGGTGTCGTCGTCAGCCCGAGATTTCGGACGCGTGATGAACAAGCTTCTTCGAGTTGGAAGTACGCGACAAAGAAGAAACAAAACAAAAGGGCTCAACCGGGAATTGAACCCGGGACCTCCTCCATTCTCGGGTGAACCCGAAGAAGGAATCATACTACTAGACCATTGAGCCTGGCGCCTATGATCCTGCTCAGCGTGCCTATACTTAAGCCGAGGTCTGGAACCGCAGCCAACCCTAACGCAACCCTGCTTACACTGTGTCAATCCGAAGAAGCTTGGCAACCTTGTGGCAACCCACCGCTTGCACCATCACTTGACAAGGAACACTAGGATGGCTGCTGCATGGGCTTCCACTCTAGCCTCCGTGGGCATGGCCGTCGGACCACCCCTCGTCTATGCTGACCAGGCCATATCAATTGTTCGGAAGAAGTGCGTGGCGTACATACGTGACGCACATGGTTTGCTCATACCCATGACCCTGCCGCAGAGACTCTACTGGCTTTTCCCGTGATATCTGTGGTGTGCTGTACGCCTGTCGCATCTACCTATGGTTTCCGGACTGACGAGTAATTCAGGCTGCTGGCGAATATCACTCGATGTTTCTTCTGGCTTGGAGAACGCTTCGATTTCGCGCTACTCATGCAGTCCATTCTGATGATTCTGGCTCAGGTAAGCGTCTTATGCTACTTGCCAAAGGAAGCTGACCTGTCTCAGCTGGCGCTGTTGTACATCTGTATCATCTACCGCCCTCGTTTAAGCCCGGAGAACCTTGGCGCCTCAACTCGCCCAATGTCGTTCTGGCAGTGGACAACCTATGCTCAACACATTGAATTCCTTGCTGGATACATGTGAGCATCTGAAAGCTGGGCTGCAGATCGCCCTCTCAACTCTTGTAGTGTGTGCCTCACGATCCTAGTTCTCATCTTCGGACGAATGGATGCCTTCGTGTGGTTGCTGGGTTTTGTTGCTTTGGGGTTGGAGAGTACGCTACCCATTCCGCAGTTAATAAGGTGAGCTACGTCTCATTATGAGCGAGCATGGTCTGACTCGTTCACTTGCAGCAACTATAAGCAAAAATCACTCTATGGGTTCCGGGCATCCACGTTGATAGGCTGGGTCGGAGGCGACGCCTTCAAGTGCGTCGAGCTGGCCGTTCAAGCGAACCAGTGAAGGCTGAACGGACTTTACAGGACCATCTATTTCTTTGTGCAAGGCTTGCCCCTGCAGTTTAAAATCTGTGCGATCTTCCAGCTCTCGGTGGATTTCGGTTCGTATGTCGAGCGTTCTTGTGTGTGAGGCGCTAACTCTCTACTCTATCTCAGCAATCGTTGCTCAGAGGATTGCGTATGGGAACGCGCCGCCACCAACAGCACTGACGGAGGAAGATGACTTGGAACAGGCATTGGCTTTAGCGGAGGAATAGATAGCTAGACGCTGCTTTGTTATTTTAGTAGCGCAGCTCATGGTGATATGAATATGGGATTGACCGGAATGGGCGTCTGTAGCAAACAAGTCCAAATTGAGCATCCGTGGACCGTGACGGTGTTCCTCGAAATCCCTTGCCCAGCAACCAAACCGCTTGACGCGTCCCCTCCTGCCGTCCTACGGCGTTCACGACCTTTCATTCTCCCTTCACCGCACCACCATGGATATCTCAAAACCTATTGCTTTCTCAGAACATGTTCAGCTCTCCAGTCTGGGCATTCAGCCGGCATCAATCTCGTTCCAGGTGCATACGACTGCGCATACGTACCCCCTGTCTTCCACTCACCTCGTTACCCGCAACGTAGACGTTGACGCTCGAGTCCGACCACTTTATTTGCGTGCGCGAGAAGGTCAATGAACAGAACCAAGTCGTCATCATCGACCTTTCCAACGCCAACAATGTCGTTCGGCGGCCAATTGGAGCAGACTCTGCCATCATGCATCCTACCCAGAAGATTTTGGCTCTGAAGTGTACGTAACAATGCTGTATTCTGAGGTGTGGCTAACGCCGGCTCCGTCTCACAGCTGGCAAGACACTTCAGGTGTTCAACATTGACACGAAACAGAAAGTCAAAGCACATGAGAACAACGAAAACATTGTCTTCTGGAAATGGATCTCTGAGTCCGCGATAGGTATCGTCACGGACACGTCAGTCTACCACTGGAGCATCTTGGACGCAACATCTCCACCGCAGAAGGTTTTCGACCGACATGCGACCCTCGCTGGCAGCCAGATTATCAACTATCGTATTTCCGCGGACGAGAAGTGGATGGTTCTCATTGGTATCTCGGGGAACACAGCGAACCCGTCTGCGTTCAAAGTCAAGGGAGCGATGCAGCTTTACAGCCGCGAGCGCGGCGTCTCGCAGCCCATTGAAGGTCATGCCGCTGCTTTTGCCGAGGTCAAGCTCGACGGACATCAGCATGTGACAAAGCTATTCACATTCTCAGTGCGAACTGGAAATGGTGCCAAGGTACGCCATGAGCTTGATGGATTTGCTTATCTCAATCAACACGCTCTCTCTAGCTGCATGTCGTAGAGATTGACCACCAAGCTCCTGACCCTCCCTTCACGAAGAAAGCTGTCGACGTATACTTCCCGCCGGAGGCCACAAACGATTTCCCTGTGGCTATGCAAGTATCCAAGAAGCATGGGGTCGTATATCTCGCAACGAAGTATGGTTTCATCCACCTCTACGACCTTGAATCTGGCGCATGCATCTACATGAATCGCATTTCGGGCGAGACTATATTCGTCACGGCCGAGCATGAAGCAACGAACGGAATTCTGTGCATCAACCGTAAGGGCCAGGTTCTCGGCGTCAGTGTGGACGAGCAGACAATGGTGCCGTACATTTTGACGACCCTGAACAATACGGAGCTCGCGTTTAAACTCGCCAGCCGTGGCAATCTGCCAGGTGCAGATGACCTGTACATTAAGCAGTATCAAGCGCTGTTCCAGAGCGGCCAATACGGCGAGGCTGCGAAAATAGCTGCAAACTCGCCAAGGGTTCGTTCCCATCCTTTGTCATTATGCCCAAGGGAGTATGCTGAAACGTATTGTTCAGGGTATTCTGCGTACTGCACAAGTCATTGAGTCATTCAAGCAGGCGCCTGCGCCGCCCGGCGGTCTCTCTCCGATTCTCCAGTATTTCGGTATCCTCTTGGAGAAAGGCGAGCTCAACCACTTGGAATCTGTGGAGCTTGCGCGTCCTGTCCTGCAACAGGGAAGGAAGCAGCTTCTGGAAAAGTGGCTGAAAGAGAATAAGGTGGATACATTCCGGCACCTTGGCATCATTTAATAATGATTGCTGACAATCCCGCAGCTCACTTGCAGCGAAGAGCTCGGCGATATCGTTCGTCTGCATGATATGACCTTGGCTTTGAGCGTGTACTTGCGCGCGAATGTTCCCAACAAGGTCATCGCATGCTTTGCCGAGACCGGTCAGACTGAGAAGATTGTCCTGTACGCAAAGAAAGTTGGGTACCAGCCGGACTATGTCTCCCTCTTGCAACACATCATGCGCACGAACCCTGACAAGGGTGCCGAGTTCGCGTCGGCGCTCGTCAACGACGAGACTGGCCCTCTCATTGACATCGAGCGGGTCAGTGAAAGCTTGACCAACGTCGCTTTTGGCTCAGACTGACATATAGCCTTTAGGTTGTCGATATCTTCATGTCCCAGAACATGATTCAACCTGCGACGTCCTTCTTGCTGGACGCACTCAAGGAGAACAAGCCAGAGCAGGGGCCACTGCAGACTCGTCTTTTGGAGATGAACCTCGTACACGCACCTCAAGTTGCCGACGCAATTCTTGGCAACGAGATGTTCACCTACTATGATCGTCCACGGATCGCAAACTTGTGCGAGAAGGCTGGTCTCTTGCAGAGGGTATGATACTACAGAGCTTGTCACTGCATTGGGGGACTCATCCTTGATTCAAGGCTTTGGAACACTATGAAGACCTTGCGGACATCAAGAGAGCCATTGTCCACACCAATGTCCTCGCTCCTGACGTATGTCCTGGTCATCGATCAGGCTATTCAACATCTAATGTCTGATATGTGGCTCAGTGGCTTGTCACGTACTTCAGCCGCCTCACGACCGAGCAATCTATGGCATGCCTGCATGAAATGTTGCGTGTCAATATTCGGCAGAACCTCCAGATCGTCGTCCAGATCGCCACCAAGTACTCTGACATCCTTGGCGCTGTCAAACTCATTGAGATGTTTGAGTCTTTCAAGAGCTTCGAGGGTGAGTAAGATAAGGTCAACAGGGTGTCTCAGATCTAACCTTCGCTGTCCCAGGTCTCTACTACTACCTTGGTTCCGTTGTGAACTTGAGTGAGGATCCGGAAGTCCATTTCAAGTACATCCAGGCTGCAACGAGGACTGGCCAGATCCGTGAAGTCGAGCGCATCTGCCGGGAGTCGAACTTCTACAACCCAGAGAAGGTCAAGAACTTCCTGAAGGAGGCCAAGCTCGCAGACCAGCTTCCTCTCATTATCGTCTGCGACCGTTTCGACTTTGTTCACGACCTTGTCCTGTACCTCTACCAGAACAGCCTCACGAAGTTCATCGAGGTGTACGTGCAGCGCGTCAACTCCGTGCGCACTCCTCAGGTCATTGGTGGGCTGCTGGACGTCGACTGCGACGAGACCACTATCAAGGGCCTGCTTGCATCGGTAACTGGCAACTTCCCGATCGAAGAGCTCGTCGCCGAGGTGGAACAACGCAACCGCCTGAAGCTCATCCTTCCGTGGTTGGAAACACGCGTACAGGCCGGTAGCCAGGACCCCGCTGTCTACAACGCTATCGCGAAGATTTCGATCGACAGCAACAACAACCCCGAGCAGTTCTTGAAGGAGAACAACGTACGTGTGACCTGTGAGCCTCATCACACCGGAGCTGACTCCTGCTTCCAGCTGTACGAGCCGCTCGTCGTTGGTAAATTCTGCGAGGCCCGCGACCCCTACCTTGCGTACATCGCGTATGCCAAGGGCTTCTGCGACGAGGAGTTGATCTCTATCACGAACGAGAACTCCATGTTCAAGCAGCAAGCTCGCTACCTCGTCAAGCGCCGTGTTCCGGAGCTTTGGGCTCAGGTCTTGGTCCCAGACAACATCCATCGTCGTCAGCTCGTTGACCAGGTCAGTCCGAAGTCGTTGTACGGGGACATCTTGTTGA